GCCCAAAGTCCAATTTGGACTTTGGGCCGCTTTCTCTCTCGATTTTCTCTCTCGGGAAGGAGGAATNTGTCAATAACTTTTTCAAGATTACGAATCGAAGGAGGGAGAGTACTTGTCAAACTAGTAGAAGAAGTTAATGGTTTTTCTCTCGAAAGAGAGAGGCGAGCTGCATCACTTCCTTGTTATTAGGGAGTAAAATCGCTAACTCCAGTTTCGCTCCCTTTATCGGAAATCGCTCACTCTTTTCTAAGAATGCATGATTGGCGACATGCTATTCAGCAGGAGAATTGCCTGGGAAAGTTCCTCGCCGAAGTAATAGAAAATGTATGAAAAAGAATATCCATCCCACCCGGGGAGGAAATCCACCCCCCGCGGAGGAAATCCACCCCCATTGAGGAAATCCACCCCCATTGAGGAAATCCACCCCACCCGCGGAGGAAATTCGACCCCAATCACTCATTGCACTGAAACGCACTGAGTGAATCGTAATTCTCTTCTCATTCCATCGCTTGGTTTATAAAAATTTTCCGTTCATTAGAGGGATTGAAGTTTACGTACGGAAAAAAAATCGCAATTTTTTTACGATGGAGACTGGGATATTTCCCCAAAAAATTTTTTACGATTTTTTTTTTTTACGGTGAACGTCTGTATGTCACGTGTCCTCTCGGTCCACAAGGTCTGGAATTCAATTAATGTTAATCTTAGTTTGATTTTCGGATGAAGTACCGATTAGCGAACCAAAGACTGAATTGCCTTCAAATTTTGTTGAACCCATTCCTGCATGAATTTTTAAAGCGAAATGTAAGTGAATGTATTGAAGTCCTACCTGTTTAATCGTTTAAAGAGGTACTCCACCGTATTTTTTCGCACGTTTCACGATTGCAAAGCAAGACTGAAACTTTAATGTGCTATAACTAAATAGCTGAATATAATATAACCGATCTATACGCACTTTGGGATTTGCAGCGTTGAAGATTTGCGGAAGCATAACCATCGAGCAAAGCGGAAGACATCCGAAGAAGGTTTTGCAATGCATTTAAAAGTTCAAAAAGCAATCGGAATTGCGAGAGAACCTTATTATTATTTTTTTTTTTTTCGACAGAAGTCGATTCTCATTTATCCGAGAAATTCCGAGTAAGCACCGGCAACGCGGTTTCTGTCTAACGCGAGCAAAGAAAAGGAATCCTGCTTCAAAGAGGGAACGATATTTTTATTTTTTTTATTTTTTCAAGAAGCCATATCGTTCCGAGAAATCCTCGGAATCGCTCCAAGCGAAAAATACACAGAGCTCTCGTAAATTCCAATTCCTGAGTCCAATTCCAATTCCATAGTCGGTTTTTTCCGAAGCAGGTAATATTTTCGCGTCCTATTTTCAGAAGATTTCCTGTCTCATTCAGAGATTCTTTAACTGTGGCCATTGCATCTCATCATATCTTATTATATCTCGTCACGATTCGGTATTACGACCAAATTCCAATTTGCGACCATGACTCGACCCACGCGATCTCAATGCCTTTCCCTCAAGGAAAGGTTGAAGCCACGATCGACACGCGACGTATTTCCTTCCTCTTTCGTCGAGACAGAATCTTGAAAGGTCTCAGCTTCGGGTGAGGGCATCGAAGACATTGTTTTCGTGAGCTGATGGGACCCCTGTCCATTAATATGTCGACGACATCTAGTCAAACTCGGGAGACGCTTTAAGGCCCACATTTGGTGATCGCGGGAAACACTGAACATTATTGATGATGATGGTCTGAGTCTCGTAATCGGGTCGAATCCGGATTCTCCCTTTCCGACGCACGAAGACCCTGCAAGCACCATTTTTATTATTAATGTCTGATGATGAACGGTGATGGAGACAAACATTGCGATCGTTGCCTAAATACTGCATGCTCCATATACTGTAGAAGAGGACCGTCGCGGCTCGGCTTCTTCATATCAAGATGGGCCCGATAACGTCATGAAGAAATAATAGGAAAAGGTCGGGTTTGGGGCGGGGCGACTCCCAGGCGCCCATTCCACAATAGATTTACTCTATTAGTCTATTACTTGTAGAATCAAGTTTCTGTTCCACAAAAGAAAATCGTGCAAGGAAGGTTTACAAGTACAAGTCTACAGACTTGGACGTGTAGCTCTAATTTCTACAAGACTCTCATGCTCGGTAAATGTACTTTCTGCACTCCTGCGTCTAGCGGAGACGATGGATTTACCTGTTGTGACCATTGCATAGGACAATATAGGCATACTTCGAATGTGGTGCAATACAGTAGAGTTGGGCTCATGTGATTACGTCACAAAGAAACTTGAAAGAATAAAATCCAGCGCCCGCAGGAAATGATATACCTGACTGCAAGTATTGTCAGCTAAAGAATGATCATAGCAACTTTTCTTGACGCCTTCTATGATAGAATTAACCTTGAATGTGAGTGTGGACTCTGTCTGGGGTACAACCAATGGACAACTTCTCCACGTTGTTGGGCATATTCGAATGCACCCTATATGGAATACGTAGACTCTGACCTTCAGGCCAAGAGATGGCATATTTGAGCTCGTTATTTGAGGTATTCATACGCTTCCATTGATGAAAGGATGAAAGGACTTTTTATTGGTGTCATTTCACGAGTGCTGCTACTCGATAGAGAACTCTGGAATGCATTCTGAACTTGTAATATGAGCTGGCTCCAGTGCAGGGCCGTATCTAGGATTTCATTTCGGGGGGGGGGGTTTGAACCCCATGAACCCCCCCCCCCCCAAAATACGGTCTTGCTCCAGTGC